CCCTCCGCTCCTGCCCCCAAACATTCTCCTTGTTTTCAGTACTTTTATTACTATTTTAGCACTCTTATACGATTTGATTGCTATTTTTACCTTACCGTGGCTTCTTGTGTCTCATTCTAGTGTGTGTGTTAAGGTGTTGCTTTGATTGCTAACTACTTGTGCTACTACCGTACTCTTTTATTGTTATTTGTATTGTTGCTCTTTCCTCCATTAGCGGTGGTTTGTAACTACTTTTTTGTGTTAGTAGTGTCGTCTCTGCTTTGCTTTTTGGTGCTAGTGTGTAGGTGTAGTGGCGTGGGTTAGCAATGTAGCTCTAAGGTCATATCCCGGGGTTGGGACGGGTGTGGGAGGTTCACGGGGGGGTAAGGTAGTGTCCCATGTGCGTTTCAGCTCATGGAACATAGGGACCCTTACAGGTAAGTCAATTGAGTTGGTGCAAGTTCTCAAGAGGAGAAGGATTCAGGTGGCGTGCTTGCAAGAAACCAGGTGGGTGGGCACTAAGGCACGAGAGGTTGATTGTTTCAAACTGTGGTATTCAGGTTCAGCTAGGGGAAGGAATGGAGTCGGCATTCTGGTGGCGCTGGAGCTGCGGGAGTTTGTGGTGGAGGTGAAGAGGATTAACGATCGTCTGATGTTTATCAAGCTGGTTTTGGGTGGGTGTGCGATCAATGTCGTGAGTGCTTACGCCCCGCATGTTGGCCTGGAAGACGAAGTAAAGAGGGAGTTTTTGGACGCCTTGGATGGGGTGGTTGTTGGTTTTCCATTGACTGAGAAAGTCGTCATTGGAGGCGACTTCAATGGCCATATTGGAGAATCAGCCGATGGCTTCGAGGACGTGCACGGTGGTTTTGGCTTTGGCAGCAGGAACCCAACGGGAGTTTCACTCTTGGAGTTTGCCAGAGCGAGTGATATGGTGGTTGCTAACTCTTGTTTCCCTAAACGAGACGACCATTTGGCTAATTTGTAAGTGGAGTGGGGACGACACAGATCGATTATCTTCTCCTGCGCAGGTGTGATCGGGTGCTCTGCAGGGATGCTAAAGTAATTCCGAGTGAAAACGTCACTACCCAACACAAGCTTCTCGTGATGGATGTTATGATCAAGTGGGAGAAACATAGGAGAGCTTCGAGTGGCAACACACAGATTCGGTGGATGAGACTTAGTGCGGAGAATATCGCTGAGTTGACTAGGAGAGTGCAGGAGAAAGGTGCGTAGGAATCGACCGGAGAGGCTACTGATATGTGGGTGAGGACTGCTAACTGCATAAGGGAAACAGCTAGGGAAGTGTTAGGTGTGAGCTCTGGTTCTAAGAGTAGGCGTCAGGGTGATTGGTGGTGGAGTGATTCAGTCTGAAGTAAGGTGGAAGCTAAGAAGGTGGCGTATTTGAGGTACATGGGCTGCAATGTTGAGGAGGACAGAGCGGCGTTACGAGTGGAGTACAAGAAAGCACGTAAAGAAGCTAAGTTAGAGGTAACGAGGGCAAAGAATGCCGCTTTTGAACGCCTCTGCAAGGATATTGAGGAGAGAGGCAATGTTAATCCACTGTTCCGGCTTGCTATGGTGCGCGAGAGGAAGGCCCGAGATCTGGATCACGTGAGATGCGTGAAGGGCGGCGATGGTAGAGTGTTAGTTGAGACTGCCAAGGTGGCTAAGCGTTGAGGGGAGTACTTTAGTGAACTCTTAAATGCGGGAGGAGACCAGAGGCTAGTTCTTGGTGAGTTGGGACAGCCCGGGGCGTCTCGTGTGTATTGCCGACGCATTTGCCTGGAAGAGGTGGTTTGGGCTCTTCGCGGGATGCGTAGTGGGAGAGCTTTGGGACCAGATGAGATTCCGGTGGAGTTTTGGAAGCATGCGGGTCGTGGTGCGTGGGTTTGGTTAACCAAACTCTTCAATGTTATCCTCCGGACAGCTAGGATGCCTGATGAGTGGAGGGAGAGTCTCTTGGTCCCTCTGTTTAAAGGCAAAGGTGACATTCAAAGCTGCGAGAATTACAGAGGCATCAAACTGCTTAGCCACACCATGAAGGTTTGGGAGCGAATCATTGAGTGTAGGGTGCGGAAAGGGGTTTGCATCTCTGAGAACCAGTTTGGTTTCATGCCTGGCAGATCGACTAAAGAGGCCATTCATCTCGTGAGGAGGTTAATGGAAGAGTATAGGGCTAGGAAGAAGGACCTTCATATGGTGTTTATTGACCTTGAGAAGGCGTATGATAGGGTGCCTAGGGAGTTCTTATGGAGGTGCCTTGAGGCGAGAGGAGTTCCCATCGTGTACACTCGTGCGATCAAGGATATGTACGGTGTTGGAGTTGTGCCCTGATGGCCAACTATTTATCGTTATTCTATCATGTAAAGGTAGATATAATATGTTTACACATCTCATGCTAATGTAAAAAAATATTATATTCCTAGATTTATATTTAAAAGATGTTTTTCAGAGATGTATGATCGCAATCTTTGGTTTATGTAATGCCCCTGCCACCTTCATGAGATGTATGATCGCAATCTTTGAGAAATTTATTGGCGATTTCATGGAGGTCTTTATGGATGATTTCTCCATCATTGGGGAATCATTTGAAGAGTGTCTCAAGAACCTCGAGAAGGTGTTGAAGCGGTGCGAGGAAACCCACCTTGCCTTAAGTTGGGAGAAATGCCACTTTTTGGTCAAGGAAGGGATCGTACTAGGGCATAAGGTCTCTAGCAAAGGAGTCGAAGTCGACAGAGCAAACATTGAAACGATAGAGAAACTTCCCCCACCAACTTCCGTTAGAGCCATCCGTAGCTTTCTTGGCCACGCTGGTTTCTATCGAAGATTTATAAAGGATTTCTCTAAAATAGCTAAGCCTTTGACCCGTCTGCTAGAAAAAGGAGCAGAATTTGACTTTGATGACGAATGCCTAAAAGCCTTTAACACTCTAAAGGAAAAATTGACCACCGCACCAGTCCTTGTGGCTCCTGACTGGACCAAACCATTTGAGCTTATGTGTGACGCTAGTGATCAAGTGATAGGGGCTATTCTTGGCCAACGGGAGGGTAAAAACTTACATCCTATTTACTATGCTAGTAGAACATTGTCAGGGCCACAACTGAATTACACCACCATCGAGAAAGAATTCATCGCCATAGTATATGCTCTGGAAAAGTTTAGGCCTTACCTCATTCTGTCAGAAGTTACTGTCTACACCGATCATTCGGCGTTAAGATATCTACTTCAGAAGAATGACGCGAAGCCTAGGCTATTACGCTGGGTATTATTGTTGCAGGAATTTAAAATTTAGGTCAAGGACCGAAGTGGGTCCGCAAATCAGGCTGCCGACCACCTGTCTCGTCTAGAACTAGACG